GAACCGATTTAGACTGTAGGCTTGTTGAAAATATATCGATGTATCGATATATCGATATTTTTTGTTCGATATATCGATATTTTTTGCCGATATATTTTGATTCGATATATCGATACAAAATAACCAATATCGAAATTCGTATCAAAAACGATATTTTTTTAATTATTAGCGGCATATCACGATCTAACTAAATTCGTATCTGGAAAAATCGTAACTGGATCTCAGATTAATGATATACAACATATCTATGATCTGTGCGGTATTTAGTATTGTCTATGTCATCATTCGAAAATAGGGTCCATTTTTAGGGAGATAATTTTCGTTCCATTATTATTCCGCGTGTCATATTTCGTGAGCGATATTTTTGGGAAAATTGGTCCGATATATCGATGTTTTTTTCGCGATATATTTTTTAAAATATCGATGTATCGATATATCGATATTTTTTTCAACTTTCGACATCCCTATTAGACTGTTGCTGTTCGAATTGAAATGAAATGAATGAAGGAATTTGTTTGACCACACCACACACCACACTGATTTTAATTTAATAGTTTGATGACGTTTTGCCTATATGTAGATCAAAACATATTTCCTAGCGTGATGCAAAGAACTATAGCGCCATCTATTTTGATACATATGAACTTCCATTTTTAAATGTACGAATGGCGTATACAGTTGCCTTTGGCATTGCTCACCTAAAAAGATTCGAAGCCCACAATAAACTTCGAACCTTTAAAAATTCGTTGCAATTTTCACAATGTATGTTAGTTTCATTGGACGTACACAAATCAGGACCGGATTTAGAGGTTGCCCCACAACGAAGGAGTGGAAGCCCCTAAATCTACCTCTTATGATTGGGGCCCTCTCCTGTCTCCCTGGGCCACGACCCCGACTGCAGTGCCTTAAATTTGGCGTGAATACAGCTAAATTGATGTATCGTAATGAACGTTATCAATATCGCCTTGTCTTTCTAAAATATTATGCTTATATACAAGTATAGGTTCGGCTCTAAAGAAAAGTTTACTAAAAAAAAAATCAACTTTTCTTTAGATTTAAACATCTAGCAGTTAAATGCTTAAAAAATAAATAAAATCATAACTATAGGTTTGGCGTTAAATAAAAACCAAGTAATTAAAAACCAAATAAACATTTACACTATATGAATAAACAAACGTCATTAATTAGATTATACAATCAGAAATAATAAATAATTATAATGATTGATGAGATTTTTGTTTTTATGTAGTGTTATTATACATAGTTGCAAGATTAAAATAACCGGTATTACCCTTTGCCACTGCAGTTTTTTTTAACAATGAGTTCTGCTGTGTTATTCTGTAATACCAAACTCCCTTTTCATTGCGAAATTCGCCGATGTTATTTGAAACTAGCTGTGCCCCGCGGTGTTACCCGCTGTTTATTTGGGATATTTTCCCGCAGTAAAACTTAGCCTATGTGTCAAACCAGGGTGTCAGCTAATTCCATACCAAATGTTATTAAAATTACTCCAGCCGTTTAGACGTGAAGAAGTAACAAACATACACACTCACAAACTTTCGCCTTTATTGTTACAGAATAGATGATTACCAAATGAGGCATTCTTAAGTTGCTTAGATGTGTGGCATGATTACATATTGGTGTCCACCCTAAAAGAAATATGCATGTTTTGTAGTAAGTAAGGTGTTTAATTTTAACAACATGCAATTCGCTTTCTTCCTATAATTTGTGATTGACCGAGGACATTTCCGCACTATACTCGTATAATTGGATTACAAGAGTATTAACTAAACAACATGTTTGTGCATCGTTTTTGTAGCAAGTCATTACTTACGCTGAATAGATAAATACAGATTTCATCCAGCTTAATAATCTGTGTTCGCATAGTTAGCTAATGTATGCAATTACGACATCATCATCAGCCTACTGATGTCCCCACTGCTGGGGCACAGGCTTTCCTCATGGATGGAGGGAGATTAGGCCATAATCCACCACCCGGGCCCAGTGCGGATTTTTTGGTCACCCATCCAATGACCGACCACTGCGAAAGTTGCTTAACTTTAACGATCGCAGCCGAACGCGCTAACCACTGCGCCGTCGAGCTCCTCCAATTACGACATAAACTGACATAAGTGTCGCCGCACACGGGCCACCGACCACAACCACAAAACGCCGCCACCGGCATATTTCTTTTAGTTTTCATGCATTTTAAATGGACTCGCCACACACGGTACGCGGGTGGCCGCCATACGCTACGTCGTCGTTGCTCGCTTCTTGTGGCCCGCACCGGCCACTTAATGCGCCGATACAAAACGCCGCCACACGCAGTGTTGCCAACTCTGATTTTGAAAAAGACGTAGGCCCGATGAGAAAATTACGTAGAATTGGTAAATTTTGCATATGAAAAGTAAGTAGATCTACGTACTTTTTTCTGAGTGAAATGAAGAATTTATTTGAAACCGAATAAAACGAGCATTTTGTTATACAATTTGTTTAAGAACGGGAGATAGAACAAAGAGTTCTTGGAGAAGTCGCTGCATTGGAAATTTGGAAGCATTTACCATGCTGTGGTAAACATTTACCATCAGACACAGACACTGGTGGGTGCCGATTCTGGATGGTTCTCTAAATTTAAAACTTAATTTAACATCAGTCTCTCCTTTTCATTCTGTATAGAGAATAACAAGGATAAACTGTTGTTAAATGGGCTAGTTGACACTTTTTGAAATTATGTTTTAAATTGATAATAATTGTTCTATCAGAACGAAAAAAAATTTTTTTTTTACCTAGAAGTCATACAAAAACGCTCTTTAGTCTATAGACTTATGTATGCTATGACGTCAAAATATTTGTAAACAAACACTCGCAAGCACGTAGGAAATAAACAGCTAAGTTAATATTATAAAACCATGATTTCTAATAGATCACATGAAAAATATAGTAGTTATCATGATACACTTGGTAAAAGACTCTAGAAAAGTTGTGGTTTAAATTGCCAAGAGAAAAAACATACTTACACATGAACATATGCTTAAAACTTGCTAAATTCTGTAACTTTATCGACTGAAAGATTTTTCTTTTTCCAAAGATCAATTCGATGTGAGTAGGTAGGTACTCATAGATAATAGTAAAAATTTAAAAATACAATTTTTAAGGTTATGAATGTACCTACTAAGTTAAAGAGTTTTGTCGTTTCTGCTTTCACAAATCCTGCATCCAGCATTAATTTAGTCAACAAAACCAATAACGGGAACCTTTTCTACAAGATACAAGAGTGTTTAGATACATCTTTATAAGAAATAAACAGTTGTATAGTTTTTAAGTAAAGTAACGGAAAATATTCTTCTTTATTCTAGTGAATTAAGTTATTTTACAAATTTGAAAAAAAATAAGAAAATACGTAGATTCTGGGACTGAAGTTAGTAGGTTTCCAGAAAAGGCCTAAAATACGTAGATCTACGTAAAAAGACGTAGAGTTGGCAACACTGGCCACACGTGACTCGCGCGATACCCCACCCCTCTCTCCCTTACCTTAGTCGGCCGCTGTCGCGCGCTTCAGCCACTTTAGTAGCCGCTTCTAGCTTCTCGTGGCGGCGTTTGTGGCTGTGGCGTGTGGCCCGTGTGTGGCGACACTAATACGTCTGCTACTTGACTTACCTATTTTAGCCCTCTTATAGTCTGTTCTTCCCAGATTTTTACCATATTTTATTGATCAGTAGTTAGATTGATTTAGTACTTTTTTATTTAGTCTGGGTTTGAGGCTAGGGAAAATATGTGGATGGATGGATGTGGATATATAATGGATTGCCTGCAGCCCTCGGGCCAACGGGTGTGTGGCTCTGTATGGTTCGTTGGCGCACCCGTTTATGAATTTGATGAAAGGGTAATGGCAGAAGTGACTCAGGGCCTTTCACTTTGCTGATCCCCTTCTTGTTACTTCGTCGGCTGTGATCATCTTATGGTCTAGGTGACTGTTACATGTTAGCCTATGGTTAAGTATAATGCCTAGATATTTGACCTCGTTAGACAATGACAGGTTGGTTACATCCAAGTTACGTTTGCTTTGTGAACATGACCATCTATCCGGTCGGATTCACCGATAGTTGGTGTTTGATACACCAATTTTCGTCTAGTTTTATACCATGTCTCATTCAGTTGCATAGCACATTCTGGAATGGCCAGCTTATGAGAATCACTATGTTGACCGCATAGCTTAATGTATGGAAGTTGCTTCGATTGAGCTGGCAAATTAATTCGTCAACCACAATGAACCACAGGAGAGGAGACAGAACTCCTCTCTGTGCACAACCCCGAGCCACTACGGCTCTTTTCGTCGTATTCACAGTCACTTATATTGCCCTATAATTTGAGCATGTTGTTGAACCATCCCGCAGTCGTAGAGTTAACGCCATGTCTCCCAAATGCTTGGGGAATACTGGTGAAGTTAGTTTTGTCAAAAACGCTTTCATTATCTATGAGTCTTCCCAGCGCTGATTGTCTTGATGATAATCCGCTTTCTATTTGCTTCACAACGTTATGTACTGCAGATTTAGTGGATTTGCGTATACTGTAGGCATGTTGATTTGTATCTAGTGGTACTCGCTGTAAAGCGTCATCCCTCAAGTTCCTATCACACATGCTCTCCAGTACCTTTAAGAGGAATAACGTGAAACTTATCGGCCTGTATACTTCAGGTTCCGTGTAGTCCATATTAACGTTAACGTGGACTGTACGCTTCAAAACAATCAATAAACCAAATACATTTATAAAGTGTGCTAAGAATAGAAGACTAACAATTTGCTGATAGCTTAGTATTTGTGATGAAAGATGAATTAAAGCTTATAAATAAAGTTATTACCAAATTACTTCTTTCACGACTCATTATTTATTCTCAATAGTACTTGAATATCAGGTGATTAACTAATTCTGTTTATTTAGCCTAAGTATTTATTCATTTATTAGACATTAATCAAAGTAGTAATTTAAAGACATAGATAACGTTAAAATGAACTTAATGATAGTTCATACAAATGATAAGAATGCCCGAATCGAGCACTGCAGTATTGTTTATTAACTGTGACAGTAAAGATGTTCCTGTTTTTGTTACTCGTGGCTACTGTTATTATTCTAACGTTCGTTTTCTTTATCGGATGGTACAATGAACGATATTGGAGAAAACGAGGAGTGATATTCGACAAGGGAAACAATCACATAATTGGCCCTTATTGGCAATTCCTGACTGGCGACCGAGCATTGTTCGAAATATTCGGGGAGATGTATAAGAAATATCACGATGAACCAGCGGTTGGGTTCAGTACGCTATTCACACCATCGCTGTTCATCTTAGACCCGAAGAATGTCCAGTATGTGATGCAGGGGTCTATGTTCATCGACCGGGGAGTAGATTACCACAAAGAAGACTATCTGGCGGACAACATACTCTTCATGAGCGGTGTGCGGTGGAAGCTAATGAGACAGAAAATGACTCCACTTTTTACATCAATCAAATTAAAGAACATGTATTACATTATCGATAAAAGTACTAAAGATTTCGTTCAGTACTTACACAAAAATCCTGAAAAACAAAGAGGTAATACATTTGACACGCTGTCCACGTTCTGCTGTAGTGCTATCGGAGATGCTGTGTTTGGAGTCAGTTATGCATCTACATTAGTTTCGCCTTTCCTAGATATAACCAGGAAAGCTTTTTCTGCAAGTCATTGGAACAATTTAATATTCACCATGTCAAACTTCACCCCGGCATTGTTTAGTGTATTACAACTTAAATTCTTTAAACAGTTTGAAACATTTTTCATCGCTGCAATGAAACAGGTGTTCAGACAACGAGAAAAAGAGGGAGTGAAGAGACATGATTTTGCTGATATCTGTTTGAGCTTGCAGAGAAACGGTGTGATGAAACATGAAGAGACGGGATTTCAGATACAACCTACAGATGAGTTATTGGCAGCTCAAGGATTCTTTTTCTTTATAGCAGGGGTAGAACCTACAGCGACAAGTATATTTGGTGCTATGATTGAAATAGGAAGACATCATGAAATTCAGAAGCGGCTACAGGAAGAAATAGATAAGGTTTTCGAAAAGTATAACGGTCAACTAACCTACGAAGCCATAATGGATATGGAATATTTGGACAAAGTGATAAAGGAATCCCTGAGAATGTATCCTCCACTTGGTTTTGTAACCCGACGATGTACTGAACCGACGATTTTGCCTGTAGGCAATATAAAAGTTGATAAAGGTACCAAACTTTATATTCCTATTTACGCATACCACCACGATCCTAAATATTTTGTAGAACCACATGTGTTTAATCCAGAAAGGTTCGACGATTCAAAGAAAAATTTTGGCGTAATTTACCAGCCATTTGGATTCGGTAATAGAATATGCATCGGCATGCGTTACGCTAGACTACAAGTGAAAAGTGGCTTAGCTCATATTCTTCGTAATTTTGATCTTAAAACAGTTGTTGGCAGTGGTGGAATAAAATTTGGCAAAGATCGAATACAATTGCGAGTACATAACGTCGATGTAGTATACACTCCTAAGAAAGTTAAAAGCACTTAATTAGCTGTAATCTTTATATTTTAAACAATCGTAACAACAAGTCTGATCGCTATCTGCGATTGAAGGTAAAACAGATTATTTAAACTAATTATGGTTTAAAAATTAATAAAGAAATTGTGATGTTGAAAAAAAATCCTTTTTTATGTTAAATGAGTGGCAAACAAGTGTATCGTCCGCCTGATGGTCAGCGACCACCATAACCTGTAGACCACAGAACACAGAAAGTTGGGTTCTGTGCTATAGGCGCTTGCAATACCAAAAATATCACTCGCATCGTTTCCTACCTTGACCCAAACTTAGCTTAGTATAATATTATGAATAAGCCACAATATATTAATTAAAAAAAAATCATTTTCAATACTTATCATAATACTGGTGTGTAACACTGCACAAGATATATTCGCTGTTAAGTGAGTCGTAATAGTTACAATAAAGAGACTTTCTTGCTCATAATGTTCAGTTTTATTTATTATACTTAATTTTAGCTCCTGGTGACGGGAGATAAGAAATCAAACAGCCAGTGTGTCGCTTGATAACTAAAAGCAATGTTTATTGGTAAATGCATAAACTATTTTCTTCAACTAATGTTGATATGCGTCAGCTATTAATGGTGAGCTCGGCGTGTTCTACATACAAAGTATATTATGATTTTATTTATTTTTTAAGCATTTAACTGCTAGATGTTTAAATCTAAAGAAAAGTTTACTAGAAACAAAAAAAACTAACTTTAATTGCTATTTCTTCTTTCAAATGTTTAATACTTGAAAAAGTATTCATTTGACATTGTGGGTTACCTATAATGCGAAGAGATGGCGCTGTCTTGCAGCTTAAGGCTAGGAAAATTTCGACGCGGCTAATAGGGCCGTGGTAGCATAATGGTCAGTGCATTCGCTCGGATAGCGAAGGATGCGGGTTCGAGTCCCGTCCGCTGCCTGGTCCGCGTGGATTTTTTTCTAGTAAACTTTTCTTTAGATCAAAGTATATTATTTAATATTTATATTGTAATTGAAATTATAGTCTTTCTTATTTATTACAGTCCAAAATTATTACATCTTTTATTCCAGAATGGACATTCTTTTCTAATTGAATGAGCTTATTATTTAAAATTGTTAAACAATATTAAAAAAAAAAAATTACCTCTATTGAGTTCAAACTGTTAAAAAGATGAAAGTGGTTAAAGTTTTACAAATGTAGGTAAATCAAAATATTCTAGCAATCGAGGTTCGTAGCAATTGCCATACATTTTTGGCCAAACACCTCCATAAACACATTATAAGGTGTGATACACTAAAAATCTAAAATACAGTTATTATGTAAACATAACAAAAATAATTAAGCTACTGAAGATATTGCTGTATAACCTAAAGCTCTTAGCTTAGCCAAAGTTAACAAGAGTTTAAAAAATCTCTCGGCTCATTCACAATCATCACACAGTTTCTGTCACAGAGTACCTTCCTTATTATAACCGGAAATGCATAGATGATACCTGATTTTAAAAGTTACTCTTGTGCATTAACTTTAAAAACATAAACTTTCTGTTATTCTACACTAGCAAACCAGTGAACCAAATGTTCACCAAAACCTGATTTCTCGAAAACCGGAAGTGCTACGTTACTCAAATCCGGTTTGTAGTCTTATCAGACTATTCTTAACTTATAACTTAAATATTCTCTTTATCTATCTCTTAAGGTTTGGCCGCTGAAACAGCACCACGGACAGACGGACTCGTCTAATAGATAAGAGATGCTCTATATACCTGAATCTAATACATAATTTCGGTACTTGGCTTGATTTCCCTAGTTTACTAAATAACTTATTTGTTCTTGATTATTTTTGAATATTTTTTATTTGCAAACATAACCTCAAAATCGTTTAGTGTATATGGTTTATAGTTACACTAAGTTCTCAGGGGTGTCCGTCAATAATTTTCGTGTCTACAGTAATTTATATATAATTTTGAATCTAAAAAGCAAAGGACATCGACGAAATCGGCCCTAGCATGCCCAAAAGAATGTCCTTCACTATTATTTTTCTATTATTTTTTTAACTTATTAGCAATTAATCATAGTAAACGGACAATCTGTTTAAAAAAATAAAAAATAAAAGTTCTGTTACTAGATACTACAGTCTGTTCATCCAACTTGGCACTCCTTTTTATTGAATATACAGCATTAAAAATCAACTGATAACTGGATTCAATATGTTTCAGTCTATAATAACGATTTATTTTAATAGTTTATTGGCTTCGTTAATATTTTATTATTAAATGGGTGATTCTGTTAAAAAGTTGTGCCAAGATTGTTTACCTTAGTAATGCAATGTAGGCGACCATAGGTATTTATCAACATAAAATTAGAACTAGGTACCTTAGTTAATAATACTTATTACTAGTATTTATATTATATTTATAAAAAGATTATTTCTGAAATTATCTAAAGATAGTTTATACTCCCATTCCATGTAATATCTGTTTATTTTTATGAAAATAATAATGATAACCAGGTACATACCTAATTACCGATAGTAAAGTATAGAAACAGGTAAATGGAAAGACTGAACATTTCATTTGAAAAGAAATCTATCATTACCTACCTACTACAGGTAGGTATAGGTATCATAGGTGCCAACTGACAAAACTCATAAATCAATATGAATATAAGCATTTATTATTTTTATTATTAATTGCATTTTATGTTCATTTAATGCATATTATTTAAGTGCTTACATAGAGGTAAACACTAAATCTATTCAGAATATATAAAGTGTACATCTTTTACGATTAAGTATAATTATAACCTCAAAATCTAATACATTCTGTAGTAGGCCACGGTTCCTCAAGTTGTCCGTATCTCAACAAATGCTTATTTAGAGTTTATGAATGATTCCGAACACAACTAGCATTTTCTCATTGCTGGGCGTTCTAGGGCATTCAATGTATGGGGACCGAGCAATGTCCTTTTCATGATTATTGGTTTTTAGGCCAAACATGTATGGAAGCTGAACAATCTCCTTTATTGGTATCTGCCATAAATAAAAGACTCCTTTACTTAGAATTTTAATTTATAATTTGCATTTTAACTTATTATATTACTCAATCTTAACTTTGATTATTTCGACAGTGAAAAAGCAAAAATGATAGAATTTTTAGTTTTTATTGCCGACTGTATATACTTATGCCGACTGCGACTTGCGAGGAAGTCATCTCGCAGGAGGAGGCCGCGGAAAGGGATTATGAGGAGCAAACCCCGTCGGCCGATGGGTCATCAGCTGGCAACCACATGCTTGGTGGAGCTACAACGCGCGTGAGGTGAGGGGCATTGTCAGGTTTTCAGTGGTTAGCCCCTCCCCTCTCAAGCAGCCGTTAGACCAGTTCTTGGAACGGTGTCTCACATAACTCCATCAGTATCTCCTGGCGTGTTGCCGGAAATGTCGGAAAATAAATGGCGCGTAGGTAAGTGTCACGCATTTATCTGATATTAAAAAATATTTTGTTGTCGTTTACGTTTTAATATTGTCTAAATACGTTGAAAACTGTAAGATACGAAGTGTGCTAAGAGTTGTAGTCAAAATGATTAAAAAAAATGCTGAGAACTTAGTATGTATTATAAAATAAGTTGAATAAAAGAGTTATCATCAAAGGGTGTTACGACATTGGTCAAATCGTCAAATTAGAAATCTCAGATTCTTATCGTCAAGTTATGTTATTTTCCAAATACGCCGTTGGTCAATTCCATGTACAGTTGCTGAAAGAAGTTTATCTAGGCGGAAAAGGCTATCCAATAGAAGCATAGAGTCCAAAGCCATTTATGTCCATTATGTCATTATGTTTTTTCCGGTCCACGTGTCATTTCATTTGATTTTACTTATTTATTTGTAAAAGTCAATATACATTATTTGCGCTTGTTGAATATTATATATTTAAAATATGGCTTCTACTATTATAGTATATTATATGTATATATATGTAAAGGCTGTAGTTCTGTTTACATAAAAAAATATAGGTACCTTTATTTGTTTTCGCTGTTAAGTGTACTTTAATTACTTAACTAAAGGCGTATTTGGCAAATGACATAATTTTATTAAAAGAGGAATTAGAGGATTACCAATTTATCTTATTTCTAATATGTCAATTTGATCGTTTGACCAATATCATAAAAACGTCATCAAATTACATTCTTCATAATATGACTAGTACTTGTCATGTCAGTTAATTTTATTGGTATTTCTTTTTTTTTGCTTAAGTTCAAGTCTTTTAATGACGCTGATAACATTACAATGTACTGATAGCGCATATCCATAAAAAAACGATATTATGTCCGAAATCACATTTGCAGTATTATTTACAACCTCTGACAGTTAACATGTTTCTGTTTTTGTCACTGGTAGTAACTGTTTTTATTTTAACATTCGCTTTCTTTATCGGATGTTACAATGAAAGATATTGGAAAAAGCGTGGAGTGTTATTCGACAAGGGAAACAATAACATAATTGGCCCTTATTGGGAATTCTTGACTAGCAACCGAGCGTTGTTCGAAATATTCGGGGACATGTATAGAAAATATCGAAATGAACCAGCTGTTGGGTTCAGTACGCTATTTGCACCATCGTTGTTCATCATAGACCCGAAGAATGTCCAGTATGTGTTGCAAGGGCCAATGTTCATCGACAGGGGAGTAGACTACCACAAAGAAGACTACCTAGCAGACAATCTACTCTTCATGAGCGGTGACCGGTGGAAGCTTATGAGGCAGAAAATGACACCACTTTTTACTCCAAACAAATTGAAAAACATGTACAACGTTATCGATAAACGTACTCAAGATTTCGTCCAGTTCTTACACAAGAACCCTGAAAAGCAAAAAAGAAATACATTAGATACGTTGGCCACGTTCTGCTGTAATGCAATTGGTGATGCTGTGTTTGGAGTCAGATATGCATCTAAATTCGTTTCGCCGTTCCTAGACATATCCAGAAAAGCTTTTGCTTCAAGTTGGTGGGGCGACATAAGATTCACCTTATCAAGCGTTTCCCCGACAATTTTCAAAGCATTTAAAATTTCATTCTTTAAAGAGTTCGAACGATTTTTTATAGGTGCAATGAAACAAGTATTTAGACAGCGAGAAAAAGAAGGAAGTAAGAGACATGATTTTTCTGACATCTGTTTGAGTCTGCAGAGAAGCGGTGTGATGAAACACGAAGAGACGGGATTCCAGATGCAACCTACAGATGAGTTAATGGCCGCCCAAGCTTTCTTTTTCTTTACGGCAGGGGTTGATCCTACAGCAGCTGGTGTATTTGGTGCAATGATTGAAATAGGAAGACATACTGAAATTCAAAAGCGGCTACAGGAAGAAATAGATGAGGCTTTCTACAATAATAATGGAGAACTAACGTACGATGCTGTAATAGGATTGGAGTATTTGGACAAAGTGCTAACGGAATCCCTAAGAATCTTTCCTCCGATTGGTTTTTCAACAAGACGATGTACTGAGACAACATATTTACCTGTGGGCAACATAAAAGTTGATAAGGGTACCAAACTTTACACTCCTGTTTACTCTTATCATCACGATCCTGAATATTTTGAACAACCCCATGTGTTTGATCCGGAGAGGTTCTCTGACGATAGAAAGCAGAATTTGGGGGTATTATATCAGCCGTTTGGATTCGGCACTAGAATATGTATCGGCATGCGTTATGCTAAACTGCAAGTTAAAAGTTTACTAGCACACATTCTTCATAATTTTAATTTAAAATCTGTCATCGGCAGTGGTGGAATAAAGTTCGGTAAAGATCAAATACAATTGCGAATAAAGAACGTTGATGTAGAATACATTCCTAGAAAATTGAGACGCTAGTAATTATTTTTTCTGTAATCAAGTAAACGGTTGGAAAATTATCTCCTAGTAAGCGCCAATAATAGTCCGCAAAGTCTAGGAAGATACTAGAGTTGCCAACTTTAACCCTTATGTATTTTGTTGTCATACGTTGAGCAAATAACTACAATGATTAATTGTGTATTGTACTTTGCGTTTATCACTAACTCATATCCGTTATCATCTATCTGTTTTTGTTTTGGGTAAAATTAATCGAAACATAAGACCTTTCACATTTTATGATATCATATTTTAATTAAAGAAATATATTTGCTTGATGGTATAACAAGTACGTTAATAATTCTATATCGAAAAGATAACCCCAAATATACTAGGTATAAAAACATAATTAACAGTGGAGGCAATTTTGCTAACTTATTAATAAGGACTTGATTAATTATAAAAGTTGTTTTGTGGTAAATAATAAATACTACTTAACTAAAAGCAAACGCCTTTTTATTTGTTAAATAATAAATCAGAATGTTAGAAACATATATTAGCTTGTTTACAGTTAATATATTAGACTAGGCTTTGTCCACAAACTCGTCCGAAGAATTAGAACTATCGCTGGGAATCACTTTTTGTTTATGTTAAGAAGGTGGCGAACAACCATATGGTCGGCCTGATGGTACGCGGCAAAGAATAAAGATATCACTCGTGCTGTTGCCAACCCTGACGCAATCCCCTATCCTGTCTCCACAGGCTCCCCCTAGAACCTTATTCACCGACAGAAACACAACACCACCAGAAAATGTCACTGTTATTTTACTGTGGTCGTCTGTAAGGTGGAGATAACTTTCCCAGACGGGTGCCCCAATGCGAGTGGAATGCCTTACTTCTCACATTGGATTTTGGGAACCATTCTAGAAAATTTTAGGAAATTCATTAGATTAGATAGATAGACAAATCATTTATGCCCATCAGTACAGCACACAAATTCAAGTAAACAAATAAAAACGACAGAAAAAGGCAAAAACTCAGCGATTCTTTTGCTCTGAGATCAAAGCACTGGTTTTCAGTTCTGCCTAGAAAGCGCGTAACGTGCAACGACACCGACGCGAAAGAAAATTAAATTAAATAATTTTATTATTAAATTATTATTGTTAAAATTAACTATACATTTTAATGTCATTCACCAAAAATTATTCATTATTACTGTTATTATTACTTTTTTAGTATTTACATTAATATTGAATTAATATTTACCTATCCGCATTTAGACATAAATTGTGACACACCTTTTAGAAAGCGGCAGAAACATTACTTATACGTATTTCTGCTCGAGCCTAAAATTCTTCTCAGATATAATGAATATTTTATGTGTTAATCCTAGTTATAAAACACTGTGCGCTGACATTTTTACCAAATCCGATGAGGCGATTTTGTGACTTAGTGAAAGATGGAAGGTAAAAACGTTAACATTCACATGTTTAAAGCCGGATCTCCAGCACACAAAAACATATCAACATACAACAAAATCGTCTGCACAAAACTTTGTTTCTCTACACATAATTGTCTGCATCAACAACGTTTTTGCTTTCCGAGCCCGATGGAAAACTCGTACACAAATCATCCTCGCGCGGGTCGAGGGGCACTAAGGGGGCAGGGTATTGTTTCATCGGCCATTTTTTTGACAATTCAATAGCGGGGGCTGCAATCAAAAACTTCGCTTCGAGTGCAACTTTTCATAACGACGTTTTAATTTTGACATAATATTTATGAAACTTTTGTTATATTTGACAGTTTTTGCATCTGAATGTTCCCTAAAACGTTTGTTAGAGACTCGGCTTAATAGCAACAGGATGACATTCTTTGTAAGTTGAGGGGTTCTGTCGATCCCCTCCTAACAACCCTGACCCTCCTCCCCCCCTGATCCCCAGACCCCCGAATTCCCTGACTACCCCGACCTCCTTGATCCTCCCCTAACCCCCCTGACTACACCTGAACACATTGCTCCACTCCTAACCCTGAAACTTTGCATGCAGGTATAAGAAGAATCATAGAAGAATGTCATTGTGTATAATACAAGCCTGAGAAAAAAACACTTCAGCTCTACACCGAAGCGAAGCGAGGGCGGGCCGCTAGTTTACTATATAGGTACTAACAACAAAAAAAAAATCCACATATTGTAGACAACTTAGTATTTACAATACAAGATGAATAATAGAGTTATCACCAAATTACATTCCTCGCAAGCAAACAACTCATTTATTATTTTGATTAGTAGTTGCTTGAATGTTAGGCAGTTATTTTTTCTTCATTTTTTTCCCTAAGATCACGTCTTTTAATGATACTGATAACATTACAACGCTATAATAGTTCACAAAAGTGATATGAATGCCCGAAATGAAGTGGCAGTTTTATTTGCAACCTCTGATAGTAAACATGTTTCTTCTTTTGTCTCTAGTAGTTACTATATTTATTTTTACATTCGCTTTTATTATCGGACGTTATAATGAAAGACATTGGAAAAAGCGGGGAGTCATATTCGACAAGAGAAACAATCTTATCATTGGCCCTTATTATGAATTCTTAACTGGCAACCGAGCGTTGTTCGAAATATTCGGGGACATGTATACTATACATACATTGTATAGGAAATACCGCGATGAACCAGCGGTTGGGTTTAGTACGCTATTCACACCATCGCTGTTTGTCATAGACCCAAAGAATGTCCAGTATGTGATGCAGGGGCCTATGTTCATTGACCGGGGAATAGACTACCACAAAGAAGACTACCTGGCAGATAATATACTTTTCATGAGCGGTGTACGGTGGAAGCTCATGAGGCAGAAAATGACTCCACTATTTACTCCAATTAAATTAAAAAACATGTACTACATTATCGAGAAACGTACTCAAGATTTCATCCAGTACTTGCACAAGAATCCTGAAAAGCAAAAAGGAAATACATTTAACACGCTGTCGACGTTCTGCTGTAACGCAATTGGCGATGCTGTCTTTGGAGTCAGTTATGCATCAACATTCATTTCGCCGTTCCTAGATATCACCAGAAAAGCTTTTTCTTCAAATTGGTGGACCGACATAAGATTTACCATATCAAGCGTGTCACCAACAATTTTCAAAGCACTTAAAATAACATTCTTCAAACAGTTCGAACAATTTTTTATTGGTGCAATGAAACAAGTATTTAGGCAACGAGAAAAAGAGGGAGTGAAGAGACACGATTTTGCTGATATGTGTTTGAGTCTGCAGAAAAGCGGTGTGATGAAACACGAAGAGACGGGATTTCAGATGCAACCTACAGATGAGTTATTGGCCGCGCAAGGTTTCTTTTTCTTTACGGCAGGGGTTGAACCTACAGCAGCAGCTGTATTTGGTGCAATGATTGAAATAGGAAGGCATCCTGAAATTCAGAAGCGGCTCCAAGAAGAAATAGATGGGGCTTTCGATAAGAATAACGGACAACTAACCTATGATGCTGTAATGGGATTGGAGTATTTGGACAAAGTGCTAACGGAATCCCTAAGAACCTTTCCTCCGATTGGTTTTTTAACTAGACGATGTACTGAAGAGACATTTTTACCTGTGGGAAATATAAAAATTGATAAAGGTACCAAAATTTACATTCCTAGTTATGCTTATCACCATGATCCTGAATTCTTTGAACAACCCCATGTGTTCGATCCGGAGAGGTTCTCTGATGACACTAAACAGAGATTGGGGGTAATATATCAGCCATTTGGATTCGGTGGTAGAATATGTATCGGCATGCGTTATGCTAAACTACAAGTCAAAAGTGTCCTAGCACACATAATTCATCATTTTGATTTAAAAACTGTTATCGGTAGTGGAGGAATAAAGTTCGCGAAAGATCAAACACAAGTGCGAATAAAGAACGTTGATGTAGTATACTTTCCTAGAAAATTGATAAGCTAGTAATTAGTTTTCTTTAATCAATTAAACGCGTGGAAAATTTCTCTTAATATCTATATATTGAGCAATTTAAAGACACCAAAACTTTATTCTTTTTAAGAAATTTTTATTCACTTATTTTTAATCTTTAGGCTTAGTTAAAAATATCATGTCTCAATCTAGGTAAGAAATGAGATGTGTGCCAAATTTGCATTTTTGTATGAATCTCGTGTAAATAAATAACTTCATTTATGTTATAATTTTTATTTCATTAAAATGTTACATATATTAATTAGCAGTGTAGTTTATGATAGTGCATAATCGAAATGATAACCAGAAACAGATTTATATAATTTAACAAAATGGCAATTTTGCTTCTTAGTCTTCTTGCAATGATGATAAAGAAACTGCTTTTGGTCAACTAGCTGTGCCCCGCGGTGTTACCTGAAGTTTATTAGGAATATTTACCCGCATTAAAACGAAGCCTATGTGTTAATCCAGAGTCTCCGCTAACTATGGAGTACGTATGGACCAAATTTGATTAAAATCGCTCCAGCCGTTTAGGGGGCGTTCAAGTATTACGTAACGCAATTTGGGGGGAGGGGGAGTCTTGTAAAACGTTACGATGCGTTACAGGGACGGGAGGGGGTTCGATCAACGCGTTACGTACATTGTTTTTTCATCATCATCATCATCATCAGCCTATTTATGTCCCCACTGCTGGAGCACAGGCCTTCCCTATGGATGGAATAGGGAGATTGGGCCGTGACCCACCACGCGGGCCCAGTGCGGATTGGTGGGTGCTAACGACTGCAGATGCAGCCGGGACCAACGGCTTAACGTGCCTTCCGAAGCACGGAGGAGTTCGAGATAGTAAATTTTTTGGTCACCCATCCAATGACCGACCATTGCGAAATTTGCTTAACTTCAACGATCGCAGCCGAACGCGCTAACCACCCGCGCCATCGAACTCCTCATTGTTTTTTATTTAAATAAAAAAAACTAGGGCATTAAAATCTGTATTGCGAATTAGAAATCGATTGTTCTAATTATTAATAACTACCGAAAAAATGATTAAAACCAATTACAAAAGGAATTTAGCGACTTTCCGGTAGTTTCCGCAACATAGATGTGACATTTGGGTAAAAAATGGTCAGATGGGTGTTACGTTGAAGGTTGGGGGGGCAGGATATCGATACGGCGGGTCAAAAATTTGCGTTACGTAATACTTGAACACTCCTAGAAGTGAAGAAGTAACAAACATACACACTCACACACTCACAAACTTACGCCTTCATAATATTAGTGTGATTTATACTCGCGCAGAGTCTAACCATATCGAAGCGAATTTCAGAAACAGTAACATAGTAAATTCATTCTTATATCCGCAACGTAATCCAGATAATTAAAAATTCAAAAAATTCAAAAAAAATTCTAAATTCAAAATTCAATATCGTTTATTCAGTCTAGGCTGTTACAAGCACTTGTGAATGTCGAAAAGCTACGCCATCGGTTCGCAAATCTACGGCGGGAGACCTTGTACTGAGAAGAACCGGCAAGAAACTCAGCAAGGGCTGTTTTTTTCTCCCTGTATTATATACAGAGTCGTCAAATTGAAAAATGACTTCAATATGAGGTAACTCATAAAGTCACTTTTCATTACAAACAAAAAAAAATGCAAATAATATAAAAATTATGACTATAAAATAAAAAATAAAAATATGTAAAAAAAAAAAATGGTTTAACAAAGTTTAGGAATGACGTGTCCTACCGTTTAGGCAAAAAAAAAATAATAATAAAATTATTTATTCTGAGCCGATAACATCGAATGCGCGCGAATTCGTGCATCTTCTTTTTCTCTGAGAAGGAACATACATTACATTGCTAATATCGTCGACCGTAATTTCAATTGGCGTAAGGGACAAACCATTACTTTTCAGGAGAAGCCAAAAACGTTTTAATTTTATTTTAAACAGCTGTAACTTTTTATATTGTACGCTTATTTTGATCATGTCAAAGGAAAGCATACATAAAATTTTGAGTTCTTTAACCTGTAGCTATTGAAAATACTCTAAATTGTTTATCTTCTTAAACAAAGTCCCTTACGACCTCCTCATTTAAACCACTTCTGTCCCATACAGCTCGTGAAAATGTACACAATACATACCCATTGGGAAGTAAAGGTTAGTTAAAAATAAATGAAAGACGTAACCAAACGAAATTCTTATTAAAATAATTAAATTACTACGGATGTTTTCGTTTTTGAGGTCATTTGTAATGTTTTATAAAAAAGAAGACAGAGTTATGTCATATTCTTTTTATTTCACAATAATAAAGCGCTCGAATTCTCTAACTGAAGAGTCGAGTATGGCAATCATTCATTACGGAACTGAAATCAAACTTAATTAATCGCAGATTTCGCAGAAAGGAACTATTTCCGTTTCATAACTATTTTGAATAGCTGGCTAAGAAACATGTAAATGATAAAAATTAAAATAACTAACATCTTTAGTCCACGCTCAATGATTGAAACGCTTTAAATGACGTATAAAATTTACAAAATGCAATAACAATAAATCTCTGGATAACTTCTCCAATAAAATAACAAACATCACTTAGACCCACTTTTACCAAAGTTCTTAATTCAAATTTAAAGCTTATCATGTTGAAACCTCATTCGATCTCTATTTGACTTTAAATTGACAAAGATGAAATGATGTGTTAAACACGATTAAGCCTAATTTTGAATTAAGAGCTTTGGTGCAAGTGGGCTTTAATCTAACAACAAAATTTAGGAACCAAAGCCCACTTGCACCAAAGTTCTTAATTCAAAATAGCCTCATTCTATCTCTTTTTGTCTTTTAACAATTGACAAAGAGGAAATTAATTATCTGTTAGGCTTCATTTGAATTAAGTACTTTGGTGCAAGTGGGCCTAAATCCTGAACAAAAACGTCATCATACATAATAGGATGACTATAACAATAAGACACAAAATAAAAAAATAAACAATTTCAAAGTCAGCATAACAATTTTTGGTGACCTCTCTAAAGGTATGTAATCTCAAAATCATTGAAATTACTATTTAAGCAAGAAAAAAAATTGCTAAAATCTTAAATAATCAAAAACTCTGTATGTATTTTCCAAAATACAATTTGACTGAAAGAATAATGAAAACTGAAGACAATTGTTTACGAAATAAAAATTTAAGCACTTAAATCTACGTCATCATCTTCTTCGTCGGTCTCTGGAAGTGTGTCCACAACTTTGGACATAAACGGTAACTCACTGTATTTTTTGTGAAACCGTTTTGGGATTGTACCATTTTCACACATTTCACATTTTTCCATTTTTTTTTTGACACAAAAACAGAGTATGACATTTACTACGTACATAATATCAGAAAAAAGGATGCTTGAAAACAGGGTGTGACATTTACGACCTATTTCTTAGTAATGATAATATTGTATTGTGATCGTAAAGGATGTGAAAATATAGTATATCAATTATGCCCTACTACTTTTTTACATAGTGTTACATACGACGTTAAGTCTGGATAACCGAGACCCTTAAAGTCTTTTTTTACACAAAAACGTGTTTAGAGTATAAAAAAAATTGGGTCTTAACGAACCAATTTTGCAAGATATCAACATTTCAAATATACCATTCGATAGAGAATTTCAAACTGAGTGTAGAACGCTAAAAAAGTGATTTTCTCATTTTTGTCCCTTACGCCAATTGAAATTACGGTCGACGATATAATGATGTATTTGCTTAGTTACGTTTTTGAAATACGTTTCGAGGCGCTTCGACTCTGCGCTAGTATGAATTGACCATTAAAATTATGATAATTCTGCACGAACTCAAAGGTGCGGACAAAAATATTAAACACCGGACATGTCCGTTAAAGCAGGATAAATGGTAAACACAATTGCGGGGAATACACAGACGAACAATCAATACAATTTACACTTCAGCAATTTTAAATAATTTACAACTCATTACCAAATTTATCTCAAGTTTTATCTTTGATAATCCTACGAAGTGTAGACTGATAAATTTATTTTTAGCAACACCAACACATATCAATATGTGTAGTCAATTAAGTACAAATGAGTTTGCTTCCTTGTGTTTGTCGATTCTTACAACTGGTACGTAAAATAACTGACTCTTAAATAAGTACAAAAACTAGTTTTTATAAAAGTAGACATACACGTTCCTTTACGTTGCGTCGCCATAATATACTTTACATACAAAAATATACCTAATGCTACCAGTATTGTTTATAATATTATATTATTGATAAACGAACCGGTAAAACAACTCATGATGACTCAGCCAAAACTGTTATCGGTGTTTAAAACAAATATAAAAACAGAAATATTAATATTTAACACTTCATTGTTGTGGCAGATCATAAGTAGGAACCATGTTCCTATTCATACTGTTATTATTCACAATCTTTGTTTTGACGGCAGCTTATCTAAAAGGAAGATACAATGAAACATATTGGCGAAAGAGAGGAGTGAAATTCGATAACAGGAATAGATTGATGGGTCCCTTTTGGGACTTCATTACTGGCGACAGGGCTTTTTTTGAAATACTGGTGGACATGTACAAAAAGTACCCCGATGAACCAGCCGTAGGCTTTGGGAGTTTGTGGACGCCGGCGCTGTATGTCAAAGATGTGACAAATGTCCTTTACGTGGTGCAGGGATCAATGTTTATCGATAGGGGAGTCGATTACATTGAAGACGACTACTTAGCAGACAATATACTATTCATGAGTGGCGCTCGGTGGAAGCTGATGAGGCAAAAGATGACCCCACTTTTTACGTCAGCTAAGCTCAAAAACATGTACTACATTATGGACAAGAGTGCTCAGGACTTTATCGAGTACTTGCATAATCATCCTGTTAAGCAAAAGCCAAAAGAGACCTACGAGACGTTGACTACTTTCTGCTGCGCTGCTGTTGGCGCTGCGGTCTTCGGGGTCAGCAGTAAATCTACATTCGATTCACCCTTCTTGGATATGGCAAAAAAAGCGGCACGAGCGAATTTGTTGACTAATATAAAGTTTGCTTTAGCGAGCTTGTCTCCAAAACTATTCAAAGCGTTACGCTTGAAGTTCTTCAAAGAATTTGAACCATTTTTTATTGGAGCTATGAAACAGGTGTTTAGGCAACGCGAACAAGAGAATGTGAAAAAACATGATTTTGCTGACATCTGCTTGAGCATCCAGAAGAACGGAGTTATGAAAAATGAAGATAAGAATATAGAAATGCAACCAACAGATGAACTTTTGGCGGCGCAAGGTTTCTTTTTCTTCATTGCTGGAGTAGAGCCAGCGGCATCCTCTGTATTTGGTGCTATGATTGAAATAGGCAGACATTCCGAAATCCAAAAAAGAGTTCAGGAGGAAGTTGATAATGTATTCGATAAGTACGATGGGAAACTGTCATTTGATGCCATATCAGAAATGGAGTATTTAGATAATGTTATCAATGAAGCTCTAAGAGTGTACCCTCCGATTGGTTTTTCGACCAGAAGATGTACGGAGGATACGGTGCTACCCGTTGGAAATATTAAAATCGAAAAGGGTACTGCCATATTCACGCCTATTTACGAATACCATCACGATGCTAAATACTTTGAAAATCCACAGGAGTTCAACCCTGATCGGTTTGCTGACAAGAAAAATCTTGGTGCTATTTATCAACCATTCGGCTTCGGAAACAGAACGTGCATCGGAATGCGATACGCGAAACTCCAAGTGAAGTGTGGCTTAGCTCATATTATTCATAATTTCGAGCTGAAAACTGTTGTTGGCAAAGGTGGCATTAAGTTTCATAAAGAGCAGGTGCAGTTGCGAATCGAAAATGTTGACGTTGAGTATATTCCTAGAAAGGAGAAACGTATGTAGGTGGTCAGTGGATTCATTAAGAGTTGCTTTTAAAAGTAGCAAAGTAAAAATCTCGTTTTTGCATATATTTATCTTAATGGTTCTAATAAATATAAGGTATTAGGTACGGAGAAAAGTTAGATTAAAGAACTTCAGACAAATAATTTTCAGACTTGCGTTAGAGACTCATTCAAATGACATTTTCGAATGCGCTTAACAGATACGAATACAGTACACCAAGCTTTATCTTGTTCTTTATTAGTATACTTACATGACTTTTGCCCTGTTACATTATAATGTTTTTTGTATAGAAAAATAAAAGCCTGAACGTAATTTATATCTGCGTATTATAAATTAAGTTTATGTATGTGTGTGTGCGTGTATAGTTTGTAATGATGTAATCAAATAAAAAATAAGTTACATTGTAGCCGTCCGTATTAAAATTGTTATTATTATACATATTGTCAGCTTAGTTTCACTGTGAACCGATTCCTTTGAATAATAAGTTACAGACAGTCCGCACATTATTAATTATCAGTTTTACTGGTCAGTGATAAGTGTACACAAGGTTAACAATAACAACAACTGAATTTAAATTAAGTACGTACAATAAAAAAAAGTTTAAGTACAGTAATGTAAAATAACAATAGTGTTGACATTAAACAAATCCTGATTCATAAACACCCGGTATATCATATTATCTATGGTCGATTTCATCTCATTACATTTTCTTTTCACACGAATATTTCTCGGATTTGGTGTTTTGGTGTCTCTTGTTTTTGCTGCACGCATGCAATTTCAAGAGCCGTTTCTCACCAGTGGTCCACGTAACAAGTTCACCTGGGTGGACTCCAGCGACTCGTCCTGACCAACCAGTTATATCCAGACGATTTCTGCATTCAGCTTGTGTTGCTTTATCTGATATGATTCAAGTTTTTCAATCTCTAAATATTATCGCAATCTTGTTGCGATGTACCTATTGTGATTGGTGGTGTTTTGAAACAGGAAGTATTTTATATACATACGATTGTGTGCTGCAATGGCAATGGTGTTAGAGGCTTGGTTACCGGTTGTGAGCGTAGTCGGGTCGTTTTCAGATATATCAGTGCTTCTTTTTGCTTAGTTATTAAGAAATCTAATCATAAAACGGATACGAAGTATAGAATCATATCGTGACAAGGTAAGGAGTGATATATTTTAGTTAATAATTTCCACATTATTACGCAATTAAAAATATTTGTTATTCTTATAAATAAATACCGATAGGCTTATCGTAATTAAGTCACACAGCTGTTGCTATTCACAAATAACCTATAACAGATATAGGTTTGAAATTATAAGATAAGTTATTAGAAAAATGAGGAGCTCGATGGCGCAACTGGTTAGCGCGTTCGGCGGCGATCGTTGAAGTTAAGCTACTTTCGCATTGGTCGGTCATTGGATGGGTGACCAAAAATTTACTATCTCGAGTTCCTCCGTGCTTCGGAAGGCACGTTAAGCCGTTGGTCCCGGTTGCATCTGCAGTCGTTAGCACCCACCAATCCGCACTGGGCCCGCGTGGTGGGTCATGGCCCTATCTCCCTATTCCATCCATAGGGAAGGCCTGTGCCCCAGCAGTGGGGACATTAATAGGCTGATGATGATGATGATGATGATGATATTAGAAAAATAGAAAAGTTTACCATATTAGTGTTTTGGGGAATTTATCGCAATCACCAGTTACCGTATGTGATCTTTTAAGTGCAGTAGGGATTGTAAAAACAAATGTTAGGAGGTCATTGTTTCGTTTTATACTAGACTAGACTAGACTGCAACAAAAGGGACATGGCCGCTTCTAAAAATCACTACCAAAAGGGGGAAGCACTCGATAACAAGGGGAACGGAATGATGCAAACGCTTGGTCGCGGCTTTTTCGATGCAATTTGTCCATGCAACCATGAACCCTCAAAATAATGACTATATGGACCAAGGATTGCTTGAAACACTTTCTAAAAAGAGACATAAATCACATAACAGTGGTTTGATACTGGCTATTGCAATACCTCTTGTCATTTATGTGGTAGAAAATAATTCTCTCGCATCAGCCAATTGCCTGTTTAGTCACCAAAGGCAATGTAGACATGCACCATAATTAATCTTAAATAATGTAGTTATAATTTTTATTATTTTTAAAGCATGTAACTGCTTGATGTTTAAATCTAAAGAAAATATAACTAGAAAAAATTCCACGCGGACCAGGCAGCAGACGGGACTCGAACCCGCACCCTTCGCAATCCGGGCGAATGCACTGACCAATTATGCTACCGCGGCCCTCACGGACCGCGTCGAAATTCTTTCTAGCTATTCTTAAGCTGCAAGGCAGCGCCATCTCTTCGCATTATAGGTAAACCCACAATGTCAAATGAATACTTTTACAAGTATTAAACATTTGAAAGAAGAAATAGCAATTATAGTTATAATTTTTATTATTTTTAAAGCATGTAACTGCTTGATGTTTAAATCTAAAGAAAATATAACTAGAAAAAATTCCACGCGGACCAGGCAGCAGACGGATTTGACATTGTGGGTTTACCTATAATGCGAAGAGATGGCGCTGCCTTGCAGCTTAAGAATAGCTAGAAAGAATTTCGACGCGGTCCGTGAGGGCCGCGGTAGCATAATTGGTCAGTGCATTCGCCCGGATTGCGAAGGGTGCGGGTTCGAGTCCCGTCTGCTGCCTGGTCCGCGTGGAATTTTTTCTAGTTATATTTTCTTTAGATTTAAATAATGTATTCACCCATAGTAATTATGATTAGTTTAAACGTCCCTAAACATTTTAAATTAAAAAAAAGTTAATAGTTTTTAAAGAAAACGTTACTAGAAAAATATCCACGTGGACCAGGCAGTAGACGGGACTCAAACCCGCACCCTTCGCTATCCGGGCGAATCTCTTATCTATTAGACAAGTCCGTCCGTCCGTCTGTGGTGCTGTTTCAGCGGCCAAACCGTAAGAGATATAAAGAGAATATTTAAGTTATAAGTTAAGAATAGTCTGATAAGACTACAAACCGTATTTGAGTAACGTAGCACTTCCGGTTTTCGAGAAATCACGAATTTCAAACGAAACCACACAAAATCTCCGAAGTTCTCAATTAATTAAATACATTTTTTTTTTAAATCAGGTTTTGGTGAACATTTGGTTCACTGGTTTGCTAGTGAACTACTAATTCTTTTTGGATAATCTTTTCTTTAGATTTAAACATCGAGCAGTTGCATGCCTAAAAAATCAAAATTAATTGTTTTTTTTATATCTCTTGAGTTATGAGGTCCTTTATTCTCAAGATGCGAAGTAACGACGTTACAAGATCCATTATTATAGATGATTGTATGTATCTAAGATAATATGCTACAACATTGTCATATTACAGGAGGAGTACACGACTGCATGTTTGATAACGATGACTATTGCTTCTCTATGCCTGCTATTTATGTTCTGCGGTATCATTAAAAGTTAGTAATTTAAGTGTATCTGTTTTATGTTTACGAGAAGACTTGCAATAAAATTGTCTGTATTATTTTGTCCATTGTTAGGATTCAATAGACGGTAGCGTTACTCAATTATTAAAAGAACAACTTTCCGCCGTGTGTCTGTTCGGCTGTCTCTCGTAAATTCTAAGGAACCTCGAGCACAAGACGGCCACGATCTCGACCAGTGGCCGCAACGACCAGGGGGCCATTCGCCTAACGGAAATGCTTTGGAAAACGCTTGCTTACGATTTCATTTTATTATTTCTATCAGCTTGAGGTTTTCAAATGCCTCGCACTTTTTTTTTCTTTTGCATTGTTAATAACAATATCAGAGAAAATGAGCGTTAGGTATTTGAAAACCTTCGGCGGTCAGAAATAACAAAATGAAATTGAAAGCTTTAGCGTTTTCCAAAGCATTTCCGTTAGGCGAATGGCCCCCAGATTGACTAAAGCTGACCGTTGCCACCAAGTGCGCGACGTTCGTGTGGTTTCTTTTTATTAGTCTTAGGTATAGTAGTTCGCAACTGTGATCGCTCAATGTAGGTCGCCGCCCATAAACGAACTAGTTCGCTCTTCTAGTACGTCAGCTCCCAGTTCGAATCAGTTAGAGGCAGATCGTTCGCTCGTTTTGATACTGCTCTTGCCGCATGTGATAAATAAGATTAGGCAATGCTGTACTTTTACCTACAAATTTGTTGATAGTAATACGTATTTAGAAATTATAAATAGATATTTGTTTCTTATTTAGGTTTTCACGCACATCACTCAATAAATAAAACTAGTTTTAACGGATTAATGCACGAACTTTATTTATTTATTGATGTTTCTCAGCCTTTTCAGGTCTGCATCGTCAGAATAATGATTTTTTATTTTCTTATCGAGCTACCTTCGAAAGACTTTTATTGAACGTTCGGATATTTCACTGGAAGATTTTTAAAACTTTATTGTCTATGCATGAATTTATTAGTTAATTTAGTTAATAAAGTACTTTATTTAAAATTCTTTTTCGTAATTTTGCTGCGAAACGTCAATAAATAAATAAAAGTTAAAAGTAGTTTTATTTATAAATAGATGTTTGTGGCAATCATAGAGCCGGCCTCAAAAAAAAAAAACCTCGAAATTTTACCTGTTTGTAATGAGTTTCGTAACAAAATACGTCCAGTTAACGCCATTCTCGCTCATTCGGTCACGAACTAATGACCTTTCTATATGTCATTATTTCGTTCGGGAAATGTTTGAACTAGTTCGAGTAGTTATCATGTGGGAGCTCTCTTACGGCCTACTTCGTTCGCGAACTACACAAGACTAGTTTCAATAACTAATCAGGGAGTCAATCGTCTAACCTAATTGCTATTACTATCGCTATAACTTACGTTTTCATTTTGTTAAGGTTTTCAAATATATCTTAACCTCATTTTTTTTAATATTTTTGTTACCAATACAAATTGAAAATCTTCGGCGGTCAGAAATAACAAACTGAAATCGTAAGCGATAGCGATAGCCATATCAATATCATTAGGCGAATCGCCCCCTGGTCGTTGCTAAAACAGGCAATGGTCGTGTCAGTCTAGTGCGCGAGGTGAGTAATACAAAGACAGTTGGAAGATATCAAAGTCTTGAAGAGGAATGTCTTGAGGAGCTCGATGGCGCAAGTGGCTAGTACGTTCGGCTGCGATCGTTGAAGTAAAGCAACTTTCGCAGTGGTCGGTCATTGGATGGGTGACCAAAAATCTTCTATCTCGAGTTCCTCCGTGCTTCGGAAGGCACGTTAAGCCGTTGTTCCCGGCTGCATCTGTAGTCGTTAGCACCCGCCAATCCGCACTGGGCACGCGTGGTGGGTCAATGCCCAATCTCCATATTCCATCCATAGGGAAGGCCTGCCCCAGCACTGGGTATGATTATAAGTATTAACAACTCCTAAGTTTATTGACCAATTTTGAGTTTTTTTATGCGTAATTTCTATTTAGTGAAAAAGAAAATCAATGTTGCCAAGTTAAATAGTATTGTATTTTATTCAATTAGACTTGCTGTTTATTACGTTTAAAACAAAACATTTTATTTTATAACTTTTCTTTTTGTCTAGGTGCTAGCTGACAAAACAACGTTGTTTCGATTCTGAGAAACCATCTTGTTAAAGGTCTCTACCGACTACACCGTTTCATACCATGAACGTGCTAGGACCGTATCAAACACGGAAAGTGACACGATACGGCTTGATATGCCCACTGAAACGGATCGACGGCGTATAATGCCCGTATGTTGCCGGTATGCACCCCGTATGCAACCCGCATGTTGCCTTTGCGTAATTTGTATGAGGTCTTCACCAAAATCGATAAGAAGCCGTTTCATTCTTACATGTGTATCGGTAATGAATGGACGTCTGCGGAGTGCTATCAAGTTTTAAATACAATAGATATGGCTATTAAAACATTAACTGTTAGACAACTGGCAATGATTGCCATAATATTGGATGAGGAAGAAGAACAGAATCAAAAAAACCACTCGACGCTACTGGATTCACGATTCTATAAAAGAACGAAAAACCGAAGGAGAATTTTGGACGTTGTATAAGCACTTAGTTGAAGATGTAGAAAAGTTCTTTTAGTACTTCCGGCGTTTAAGACGCCTATATAACGGTCATCATACGCGGTTCTAACCCGTATAGTCACCGTTTTGTTGCCTGCGCGCATCGGTTTTGCATCGTCGCGTGCCATGCGCGAACCAAAATATTTTCGCCGACAATAGTAGCCGCTCTGTGCATGGCACGCGACGGTGCTGGTCGGTGACGGAACGGGCTAGTGGGCATTGTCTCATACTTTTTAATACGAAGAATATTTTTTTGCCTGACACGTTCATAGCACGGTCACGGTATGATACTGTGTAGTGGGCAGAGACCTTAATTGTCACGAATTTGTGTATTACAAATAAATATTTCTAAGACACACACCAAATTTGTCTAGCCGCAAAGTAACCACTGTCTGGCTTGTGTTATTGAGTAACGAGTACAATTCGTTAATACTGATACCATCATCATCATCAGCCTATTAATGTCCCTACTGCTGGGGCACAGGCCTTACCCATGGATGGAATAGGGAGACGGGGCCATGACCCACCATGCGGGCCCAGTGCGAATTGATGGCTGCTTACGACTGCAGATGCAGCCGGGACCAACGGCTTAACGTGCCTTCCGAAGCACGGAGGAGCTCGAGATAGTAAATTTTTGGTCACCCATCCAATGACCGATCACTGCGAAAGTTGCTTAACTTCAACGATCGCAGACGAACGCGCTTACCACTTGCGCCATCGAGCTCCTCGAATACTGATACATGTAGGTATAAGTATTTATTTATTTAGAAATACATATAAACATCCATACCATGACTCAGGTTCAAATGTTCGTATTCATCACACAAAATTTGCCCCACCGGGATTCGAACCCAGGACCTTTAAGTAGGCGACACTTTTAATTGAAAATATTATTACTCATCATGAAGAGGATCACAGTTATTACCGTTTTTATCATCAGCAGTGTAAGGTATATACTCCCTTCCATTCTCCTGGATTCGTCTCTTACTCTCTGGCTGTCACGGCTGTACGACTCTGGAATGGCTTGCCCCCCAATATATGTAAAGCTCCTAACAAACTTGCAATTAGGGGATTGGTTCGTGAGCACTAACTAATAAACAGCGTTTTCATATTTGACTGACATAATCGTAATTGATAACAAGTTTATATTATGCCTGGTTTTGGTTCCTCTCACGTCCAATTAAAATATTGTTAGGAATAGAAGCAGGAAAATAATAAAAAAAAGAAACACCAGACGATATCTACTCAATTTTATCCTTTGTATTACAATTATTACAACAATTACACTTATTTAATCACTACGACACTTATTTAATCACTACGACACTTATTTAATCACTACTTATTAAATTGTACACTTCACCATGGGATATACACTCTATCGTGGGAGAGCCACACAGTAGCTTAGGCTACTGCATGAATGGGCCGGCTCGACCGGAGGAATACCACGACCTCACAGAATATGAAGCAGTACTTTGTGCTGTGTTTCGCCGAGTGAGTGAGGCTACCGGAGGCCCAACCTCCCCCCCCCCCCCCTTTTTCCTCATGATGGCGCAGTTAAATAGGATAATACCCCAGGGGGGTACCAGCTGTTTTCGCGCTGGAGAATCCCCCTCTGGACGTCCATGCCCAGAACTGTTTCCTTCTGGACGTGGACGTCGAGGCTGCCCTTCGTATTCTGGGGAGGGCGAAACCGCGTTCAATACTAAAAGTGCTCGAGGCCAGAGCAAGCGTCATACGACACCCCCTGCCACGTTTAACGTGGATAACGTTAACCTTAATGCTGTTCACTACCACCTTCAGACAGTGCAGCCGGCCTTGCTTTTTTTTACTGAGACGCAGATATCCTCTCCAGCCGACACCTCCTACCTCCAGTACCCTGGGTATACTTTGGAACATTCCTTTGTACCACGGGCTGGGGTATGTGTGTACGTTAAAGAAGGTATCAGTTTCCGTCGCCTCAGCAACTTTGAAGGTAGGGACCTGTCCATCTTATGGTTGCGTGTAGCCTCGATGACCATCCCCGCGTCTACGCCTGCCTCTACAGGTCCCATAGCGGAAATGCCGAAATTGACCGACTCTATGATCACGTCCAGGTGGCTACAGACTCCGTGCTTCAGCAGATCCCATCATCTGAAATTGTGATCCTTGGTGATTTCAATGCCCACCACTCCGAATGGCTTGGATCGCCCACTAACGATCATGCAGGCAGATCTGCTCACGACTTCGCCTTGGCCTATGGTCTGACACAACTGGTCACCTCGCCTACGCGAGATGTCGAAAACCATACACCTTCACTGTTGGACCTTCTGCTGACTTCACATCCGGATAATTACAAAGTGTCCATAGATGCCCCTCTTGGCTCCTCGGACCATTGTCTAATCCGGAGTATGGTGCCACTCACTTACTCACCGCGGCCGCAATTTGCTGGCTGTCGTCGTGTGTGGCACTATAAGTCAGCAGACTGGGATGGGATTCGCACTTTCTTTTCATCCTACCCTTGGGGCCAGGTTTGCTTCTCGCAGAATGATCCCAACGTCGCTGCCGATTCTGTCGCCGATGTTGTCCTTCAGGGTATGGAACTTTTTGTTCCTTCCTCTGTGGTTCCCATTGGTGGCAAATCCCAGCCTTCGTTTGGTCACAAATGTAAACTGGCATCTCGCCAAAAACAGATGTGTTATCAGACCTGGGCAAATGCAGCGGCGGTCGGGGATAACAATACTAGCGATCTCAAAAAGAAGTATAACTTGGCCTCCAGGTCCTGCAAAAGAGTAATTGCCAGAGCGAAGTCAGAGCACATTAGCAGCATTGGCGAGAGATTAATAAAACTTCCATCTGGAACCCGCGCGTTTTGGTCTCTTGCCAAGGCTGTTGAAGGAAATTTTTGTAAGCGATCCCTTCCACCCCTGCACAATGGCGACGAATCGATGGCCCATACTGCAAAAGAGAAAGCGGATCTTTTATGCTCACTCTTTGCGTCTAACTCGACTCTAAATGACAGGGGATACATACCGCCGACCATCCCGCGGTGTGAGAGTTCTATGCCGGAGATCCGGTTCACACAAAGCTTAGTGCGTAAAGCACTCTTTTCCCTAGTCATCCACAAGTCGAGTGGGCCTGATGGAATCTCACCAATTGTGCTGAAGACGTGAGCTCCTGAGTTGACTCCGGTACTAACGCGTCTTTTCCGGCTCTCCTACTCGTTAGGTGTCGTTCCGAACTCATGGAAGACAGCTTCAGTGCACCCTATTCCTAAAAAGGCGACCGCTCACTCCCTACTAATTATAGGCCTATAGCCATCACCTCCGTGCTCTCCAAGATAATGGAGTCCATTATAAATTGCCAGCTCCTGCGGTACCTAGAGGACCACCAGCTGATCAGTGACCACCAGTACGGTTTCCGTCAGAGTCGCTCGGCTGGTGATCTACTAGTATACCTGACTCATCGTTGGGCAAAGGCGATCGAGACCAAGGGGGAAGCATTGGCGCTCGGTCTGGATATCGCAAAGGCCTTCGATCGGGTTTGGCACAAAGCGCTTCTTTCGAAGCTTCCTTCTTATGGGCTTGCTGAAAAGCTGTGCGTTTGGATCACTAGCTTTCTTGCGGACAGGAGCATCAAAGTCGCAGTCGACGGTGCATGCTCGGACTCCAAAGCTGTGTGCTATCACCTACGCTCTTTCTTCTTCATATCAATGATATGCTTTAAATTGATGGCATTCATTGTTATGCAGACGACAGCACGGGTGATGCCCTATATACTGGCCGCGCCAACATATCACGGGAAAACGTCATCGAGTGCCGGAACAAACTTGTGTCTGAAGTCGAAACTTTGTTAAACCAAGTAACGAATTGGGGTCGACTTAATCGAGTCCAATTTAACCCTACGAAGACACAAGTATGCGCGTTCACCGCAAAAAGATTACCATTTATCGTATCTCTTCTTTTTCAGAACACTCCTCTAACTGCCTCAGCTAGTATTGGAATTCTTGGCGTTGACATATCGAGCGACGTCCAGTTCCGGGATCATTTAGAGGGCAAGGCCAAATTGGCCTCTAAGAAGCTTGGTGTGCTCAATAGATCGAGAATGTACTTCACACCGGCCCACCGACTGCAACTTTATAAGGTACAGGTTCGGCCTCACATGGAGTACTGTTCTCATCTTTGGGCGGGGGCACCCCAGTACCAGCTTCTCCCTTTAGATCGCATCCAGGACCAGGATCAGGACCTTTCCGATCAGCTTGATCCTTTGGCTTTGCGTAGGGATGTAGCTTCGCTCTGCATCTTCTATCGCATTTATTACGGGGAGTGTTCTGAGGAATTGTTCGGATTAATTCCAGCTGCTGCATTTCGCCATCGTACATCGCGACAAAAATTTCATCCCCATCATCTTGATGCGTGGCTATCCACTACCGTTCGTTTTTCTCGAAATTTTTTACCACGTACGACAATACTGTGGAATATATTGTCGCCAGCAGTGTTTCCGGACCAATACGACCCAAAAACCTTCAAAGAAAGAGCGTACTCCTTCCTTAAAGGCCGGCATCGCATTTGTGATACTCCTGGTGTTGCAAGTGTTCATGGGCGACGATAATCACTTACCATCAGGTGAGCCGTCTGCTCGTATGCCCCCTATAACATAAAAAAAGAAAAAAAACATAATCACAATAGAATTTAAAGAAATACCGATTTCTAAAAATCACACGAGTTAACTGACAGAGATTCGACCAGAGGTCCGTCCCCTTCGCGCGCCAAGAAGTGAGTGTCCCATACGCGCGCGTCGCTCGTCTTTTCATTTCACGTCATTCTTCAGTAATGCCGGTGGTTTGACGGTAGTTTGCTTACAATATAATTATAATTTGGCGAGTTGAACTCGCACTTGACCGGTTTATGTTCTACCTGCCCGCTGTGCTACCTTGAGACGCATAGTTACTAATTTCGATATAAATACTTTGAATTTGCTTTCAGTATCCGACAGCCAGTACAACATGCCCGTGAAAAACACCAGTAAGTCCGTTTGCGATGACGCCAACAATACGTCTATGGTGGAGCATTTCTTCAACGTGATCTTCACCGAATTCCATAGCAACCAACCAGTCTGCGTGTGCGTACAAATGTGTGGCGATCAGCCGACTTACTGCTACCCCAATGGTTGCTTGAAGAGAGTGGACAATAAAAAGAGAACCAGCCCTTCGCCGGTCACTCATATTCACAACGAGGGCTCCTCCAAAACCATGTTTTTGATTGATGAGAAGAACAATTACGCTCAAATTTTGAATGCACGTGTAGATCAAACTGATAATGGTGAGACTTTCACTAGTTTCTGTGATTTTGGATGAATTATTATTATTTGTACAATATCTTCTAAGTATTAACTTTCACTTTTTTGTTAAATTATGTAACATAACTCCCATAGCTACACTTTTACAACTACACATTTGGTAATGGTATATTGCGTTGTTCGATAACAACGGGCACAGATCGCCATTATATATACATTTTTTAGAACATTCCTTTTCCATTTAAAGACTTTCACCCTCTGCAATGAAAAGTTAGTAAGCATATTTTACGGTTTTCTTTTGCTTCAGTTCAGCATGGTTATCTTCTGAAAGAAGGCATATTCATTTGGGATTAAGATGTTATGAATAGTTGCCAATGCCTAAGTATTGCAATATAAACAAAAACATATTTTTGTTAGGGACATTGTTAAAGGCTAAGATCTAGTTTAGGCTATTTAAGTCAGCGATTAGATGTTCTGTTGTGGTTGTTGCGAATTAAATTATATTCTGAATTTTTTAGCTCCAAAAACAACGACACCAAGCGATTTCTTTTCCGATCCTTTGAAAGACATGTATAAAACACTGTTCAAATACAAAAAGATGCCGAAAGTAGAACTCCATTATAACCTACGCGAACAAGTGAAGAACATGAAGTCGGATATTCTGAGGGTGGAGAATGAAGATATATCAAAAACTAGATGGTCACAGTTAAACCATAAAACATTTCACGACCAAATAAATTATGCTAACGATAAACTTAATCAAAGAAGATTCTTAGATACTGGCAAAGGTAAGTTCTTCCTTTCCAGTCCTGAGAGAAGTCCTAACAGTTACACATCAAAATATTTCAAACGAGATTTGAGAAGGAATCACAATGTTGGTGTCGATGGTGTGATCGATAAAACTGATACGACAGAAAAGGATTTCTCAGTAGAAAACTTAATTGAAAACCTAATAGGGAATACTTTTGAAACAATGAATAGTACCAAATATGCTCGGGAGAATGATAATAAGTTAGACGGAAGTTCTTCAAATCAAACAACCAGTGCAACGGAAACAAGTAGTAACTATACAAATGTTGATAGAAAAGAAATGTTATGTGCTATCTCAATGAATGCTACTGACGAAAGCAGAGATGAAAAGAAGTACGCTGAAGAAAGCAAAGCGGTCGAAGAAGTATTTAGAAAATGGAGTAATTACACTTTCGACGAAATGATTACTGCTCTTTCGAAACGAATAGAAGAAAACAACAATACAAGTTTGGAGATGATAAAACAGGCTTCCGAAGTTGACCGCAGTTTGACAACAAATAAATCATTTCTAAGCTCTACTGGTGTAGTTAAAGTAGAAATTGTTGCACAAAAAGCGCTTAAAGAAAATAACGATAGTAATTTTAGTACAACTACTAATGATACATCTTATCACCTTGTGACCACTGAATCATCTAGTCAAAATATTATTTAAAGAAACAACAATGATTGATGATGAATGACGAACGAAATGAAAATATAAAATGTTATTTTTTTACGTATTACATCCTAGGGGCCGCCCATGACTTTGACAGCGTTACCTTTAGTTTTTTACTTAGATTTAATCAAAAAGGGAATATACGGTACGCTCACACTAGCATCAAATAAAATATGCTCCGACTCAATTAAGCAACTCTCACGCACGCACACTTTTGTAAATAAACATTTAATCGAGTGAGCCAGACAGAACTGTACGTTTCAACGCAGAGCGAGCGAAACGGCGAGCCTGCGTCGTTTGGCAACCGACTGCGTTTTATTTTCTCTCTCTAAAAATGGGCGAGCTGCATTGTTGTCCTTTTCTTGATAACAAATGGCGAATAAGTAAATAACATTCATGACAAACCGTCATTATTGAGAAAAAATGATTTAAAATAGTTATCTGAATGAAAAGTTTTGTCGTGTTTGTTATTTGATCTTGAACTTTTTGTTCTTTGTAAAAGCATCGAAGGCATTGTTTATAACATAGAATATACACTCGAGTGCGTATGCAGCGTGTTTGAATGTCTAATTGTGACTTAAGCGAATTGTGGTTTTGCACCACAATTTAAGTGGTACTCTTTTGAGCCGCGAGTGCCTTATAATCTCTTTTTGTTTTACTCGTAATTTAGATTATGGAATTCCACAGGAACCTAACATCTTTCCGGGATAGAAAGTATCCTTTGTCTCAATCCAGGTACTATACGTGTAAGAAATTTCATCCAAATACAGATATTATTAAAATATTTGAATTCGAAGACATACAAATATCGTTTCTATTTGTAAGAATTGAAGGTGGTATCAAATTTATGTGATGTTTTTAGCAATAAAAAAATGATTAAATTCCTGGAGACTTACAACTTATTTGTAAGGCAACAAAGTGTGGATATTAAAGAGTGGACGCGATTTTCTATTAAGTTTCAAGGAAAAGTTTTTCCATTTCATCCTTTAGAGTTGAGACGGTACTGGCGGCACTTGTGGCGGGTTGGGTGATAATAAGATAAGATTGTTAGCGATGAATTACTTTTTAGGGATTCGTACTCAACGGGTAAAATCGGAACCCTATTGCTGTTACTCTGTCGTCGTCTGACACTCCGTCTTCTCTTGATTACGGACCTAAAATTTTGGTAAGTATTTTATGTAAAATACTTGCCCAAAACCGAATATTTAGTTATTCTTTTTTTCTTATTTATTTTTAATAGTATTCTTTTAAACAATAGATAATCTTTATATAACAAAAACTTAAAAACTACTTGTTGAATAAAATTTACATTCCAAATTACCTTAACCTACTTAAGTAATTAAATAATATATAATTTACAAAATAAAAAATATGTCACCCTATAGTGGAACGCGGCCTGGTGTGGAGTAGGCATTCACAGAGTTCCCCTCTGTCGATTTTCCTCCACTGTTGGGTTAGCTCAAAAACAAAACTAGTTGCGCGAGTGTATGTTAGAGATCAAAAATGCCAAAATGTTATGTAATTTGATGTTAAATTTCACATATAAGTAGAATTATCAACATATTATTTCTATTTAACAACTTTTAAACACAAAATTTATGTTAAAATTCAATCGTTGGACATGTTTGACAAAACGCTTGACTCGCCAGTATAAATTTCAGATCTGTCAATAAAAAAACGAGCGAGCCTTACAGTAGTCGCGTATGATGTGTAACATTTGAAACCTCACCTTATATTAGTAAAAAAAAAACCTACTACAAAAGGAATAAGCCATTTGAACATTATGTTCTAAAATCAAACCAAATAGCGTGCGCTTTCGCGACTTCATGTTATATACTTCCGTTCCATTTCACGAAATCACTCCCACAAATTGCAGGAAAGCAAGAGGTAAGATGTTACACATCAAAAATCTTAAGTTTCATCTATGCCCGATTTAGTGCTGTCACTTTTTATGTATGAGTGTCGTAATTGCAATTTTATTTTTGCGAAAATATGTTGGCCTGCTTTTGTGTGCATATTCTACCCCCGCAAAAAGCGGCAGAATGATTTCACTAGTATTATGTCATTATGGCCACTCCCCTCCCAGCCGCATCGGCTATGTTGCTCTATGTGTCACCCCCAGCGCCGTCGTTCGGAATGGTGCCGTTAGGCTGGCAGTATTGCCACGTTCGATGGCAAGGCTGATCCATTGACCAAGTTAGCCTTTTGATCACCAGTCACCTCAGTGAGCCTCTTTAATTAATTTTCTTTAGTTAATTAAAAATTAAATGAAGTTTAAATTATGATGCGGCCCTGATGGCCGCGGTAGCATAATTGGTCAGTGCATTCACCCGGATAGCGAAGGGTGCGGGTTCGAGTCCCGTCTGCTGCCTGGTCCGCGTTTTTTTGGATTTTTTTCTAGCTATATTTACTTTAGATTTGAACATCAAGCAGTTACATGCTTATAAAATAAAAATTATAACTATAATTGTTGTTTCTTCTTTCAAATATTCAATACTTGTAAAAGTAATCATTTAACATTGTGGGTTACCTACAATGCGAAGAAATGGCGCCTGCCTTGCAGCTTAAGAATGGTGAGAAGAATTTCGACGCGGCCTTCAGGGCCGTGGTAGCATAATTATTGGTCAGTGCATTCGCACCGGATAGCCAAGGGTGCGGGTTCGAGTCCCGTCTGCTGCCTGGTCCGCGTGGATTTTTTTCTAGTTATATTTTCTTCAGATTTGAACATCAAAAAATAAAACTTATAATTAAAGGAAGTTATTTTTCAGTTATGAAAAATAATTTCATTTCATTTTTGTCCCATACATGAGAAGGAGACGATTTTTTTTACACCAGCATGTGAAACATTGTCTAGAGCTCGTTGAGTAGAATATTAATATATTTTTTATCATAATTTATATCACCCGTGCTTTAAAACCGCTATTAAAGATTCTGAAATTGCCAGCGTCAAATGAATACGCTAAATAATAGCACCGGTTTAGGTGAAATAATGGTTATTTTTAATACATTTCATAACAATACTTCCTCGCTTTTTTAACCCCTTCCGCGTCAAAGGCTTGCTCAACAGGCAGCCACAATTTTCACTGCTGAATGCGTGGTATTATTAATTTCAAGAAACTGACCAAGAGCACGGTAATAATATCATACAGTATTCTATCTCCATACAAACGGTCGGAAAGCGAGTCATACCTACGCCACTCGAGTTCGATGTGCTCTCGGCGGGCACCCAGTCGCGAATGCGCCGCGCCGCCGCGCCGCAACGACGACCGAACGGTCTGAATTGTTTTTTATGCAGTTAGCCGTGCATAAACGTGCGTTTTGTATTGTAAATATTTGATTTAATTAAGTAGATACCTACATAATTTAGTATGGAAAAGAACAAACGACGATCAATATCGTACAACAGCACGATTGCTGTTTTTGGTTGCTTGAACTCTTTAATCACACACCCAGAGATATCATTTTTTAAATTACCTGAAATATTGGAAAGGTGTCTTAACTTTATAGAATATGTTTTATATACCTATCTACTAGTACGTAATTTGTTTCTAATATTTAGGTATTTCGGTTTTTCCATCGGGCAAAATATCTGGAATAATATATAAATAAGTGGTTATGATAAAAAAAGAGACAAACGAGTAATCTACCTACACTCGCGTTTAAAACAAAACTACATAAAATACTCTAGGCGGGCGGCCCTACCGCGTGCTAGAGCAGCGCTCGGTCGTAGGCATTTATTTTCAAGGACAGGGCGGAGTCACAATACTGTATAGATAATATTACCGTGCCAAGGGAGTGTCGTGTCTCACGCACTGTACGGTTCCGTAGTTGCTCGTCGTCACCACAATATATTTTGGAGAAAGTCTATATTTTAAGCATTTACTTCATCTGTCACTTTTAATGTTTTCTTCTAAGGAATTTTTATTAGGTCAGAAATTTTCTTATACATCATTGTCTAGAGCTCGTCGACTATTACTCTTAAAGTAATAAATTTATTTTAACTGTCATAATTTTCCTTGAAAGTTCATGAAAAGGACTATTATCATGAATTTTTTCAGCTTTTTTAAGCCAATAGTTTAGCTTTTAGACGGGGGGGCGGGGGACTCCCTACCCGAACAAAAATTAGCACTTTAAAGTTCAATATTTCGCAAACCGATCAGCTCTCTAGTACTAACAATCTCCAAGCAAAACCAGGGACAAACAGACAGACGGACATGACGAAACTATAAGGGTTCCTTGTCAGTACTACGGGAACCTAATAAAGAACATAGTCATTTACGCGCCCTTCACTACCACAGCAGCGTCGAAACTTTTCATGAATTTAGAGATATAAGAGAGATAAGTTCTTAGAACGCTCCATGGTTTCAGTATCTTTTATAGTGGATTCATATCATGGGTGTAGACAAAGTCTTGTATGCAACTGTTATAATTAGGTATTAAGACATAAATGTGGGTTTATCACATGAGGCGAAGCCAAGTACAACAGTTGCATAAAAATCTATTACCGTATCGTCAAAGATTTTATGGAAAATAAGCAGCGCCTCTACCGGACGTAAGATGAAACTGGCTCTTTCCATACAAAATTTGATGATGACGATACGCTAACAGATCTGTCAAAGTTCGTGTTTGGGCGTCTATTTACTAGGATTATATACTAAGCGAGCAGCTTCGCTGCAGGCACTAAGTGAATATCTTTGTATTCTGACTTTAGCTCAAACTTTCTAATAAAAGAAGTGTCAGTCATTATTTCCTTTCGTTTGAATATAACCATAAAAATAAGCAATTTCAAACATTTGATTAATTTGGAATGGAATTGAAGGGTTGCGAGTTGCGAGAAATAATAATCAAGTTATTCGCAAAATTTTTAAATTATTTTAATTGAAAAGGCCGAATTAGGTTGAAGTTAATATTCAAAGGTAGGTATCATACAGAAATAGAATAATTTTCTCAACTGGCAATTAACTGACTCCTCTATAGGTGTTCCTGATTATAATACACTAGCGGCCCGCCCTCGCTTCGCTTCGGTGTAGAGCTGAAGTGTAGACTACAGTTTTTGTTCTTAGGCTTGTATTATACACAATGACATTCATCTATGATTCTTCTTATACCTGCATGCAAAGTCTCAGCCCGATCGGTTTAACAAAGTTTCATACAAACTTTCATTCCCTATTTTATCCCCTAGGGGGTAGAATTGATCAAAATCCTTTCTTAGCGGATGCCTACGTCATAACATCTACCTGCATGCCAAATATCAGCCCGATCCGTCCAGTGGTTTTGGTTAGATCACTATGTCAGGCAGTCTGTCACCTTTGAGTTTTAAATATATATGGATTATGATTTCTGTCTTAAATTTTTATGTTGCTCTATTCAGTACGGTGTTTTTATAAGAGAGTAGAAAGTCTCAAAATTTTAATCTGCGTGAAAAGTCAGAAATCGACGCATTCTATTGGTTTTTTTTGTATGCCTGTCAAGCGTTGAGGATATAGTAATTTGTATACAGCATTTAGTAAAGAGTTATTCGCTTTGTTATCTTCACGCGATACAAAAATGTTCAGGAGGTCATTAGTTGTCATAGAAAAAGTGTTGTACAACGATACGACACACAAAAACAAGGTCGGGGGTTATCTTTTTAAAGATAACTTATTTAATCATGTTCCTTTAAAATCTTACCGACTAAACTGTGATAGACCTCCGGGTTTCAAGTTGTCGTACTCGAGAGAGAGAGAATCCCGGTGGGGGCAGATGTTTGTGTGATGAATACGAGCATTTGTACTCCAGTCATGGATGTGTAATATGTATTTCTATATAAATATACTTGTATCAGTATATAATGCGATGCAACTAAGAATAGGACCGACTGGGCGCCATATTTTGACGTCGTAGCTGTCAATTCAAACCAAATAGGTAGTGAGCAAAAAAATTTTGCTATTTAATAAAACTTATTTACTTACTAAGATTAAGTGAGACAAGACATCAAAATTTTTATTAAAATTAATTTACTAAGGTTGAGGAAGAACACAACCGATTTTTAATAGTATTTCTTTATTAAGACTGTGTGAACAAAATACATTATCAGAATCTAGCTCTTCAATTTCGCTCATCTCTGCGTTACCGCCGGAGAAGTTATGAATAATCATGCAGGTCACATACGAACATGCATGCAAGTTTTAAATTGAGTTTTTGAACGCAACATAAAGTGACATTTGGTTGACGATTTAGGTTATCAACCATTCATAGCCAAAGCTCAATAAATGAAAACAAAAAACAGCTAATATTTATTATCAACATTTATTATTGTTTGTTTAAAAATGTTTGGTTTTTATTCTAG